CGTGGGAACAGCTGCTTCCGCTCCTCCCACAGCTGAGGCAGGAGGGAGGGTCGTCCGGGGCAGAGGGCTTCCAAGCTGCTGTCGCTGGAGCTGCCTGCAGGACCGCCGCTCTTTAAAACGGAAAAAGTAAGAAGACACTCGAGGTGGGAGAGCACAGCCTCCTAGGGAGGCTCAAAGTGGGAGTCAGGAGGGAGGTCCACACAAGCTCAATGATGTCAGGTGGTCAGAGTCTCTAAGAGCAAACCATGTGCTTGCACGTTAGAGTAGGCAAGTGTTCTTTGTTAGTTTACTGCAGGGGCTCCCAACATTTTCCCCGTGCATACCACTTTAATATCACAAAAACGTCCAAGGCTCCCACACACACCCCCGGACACCCAGATTTGATAAGGAGCTAGTTACAGAACCAGTTAACCACAGAAAACCCAAAGTGACAAAGTACCCTGAAGCCTGACTTCCTTCACCAGGACCACCGAGGTGTCCCCTCCCCGCCTTGCACCCCCAGTCCTGCCTGTCACCTTGGTTCTTTCCCTTCTGCTTTGTTACTCCATTCACCCCTCATTCCCCACCCTACAGGCAGCTACTCAATGGATCCACTTATCAGTGTGTTTCCACAACCACTAATTTGTTCTGTGTGCACACATTTTAAGTGAGGTGAAGAATGCTGTTTTATACTTCACTTCATTTTTGTGGCTCAGCATGGTGCCCTAAGCCCCAACATGTCTCCCCGTGCCTCTCCGTGGCAGGGCTGTGGCGTTCTCCATCCCCCATGTGACCTCCCACCTCCCCCAGTGAGGGACACCAACCCCGCCCACCCTGCCCACCCTTTGACGGTCCAGTGAGCACATGCAAGTGCCACCCCCTGTGGGCCTGGAGAGGACGTCCTTGGAACTGAACTCCTGGGAGTGGGGCTGCTGGGTCCAGGGTCACCATGCCCTCAATGGATGCTGCAGAATCCAGCAGCAGTGCAGGGGGTGGGACGTGGGCACGGGCAGGGGAGCTTGGCCCTCTCCACAGATCTCACAGTGCAACAAAGTCCTTGCTCCTGGGGGCGTGCAACTTCCCTTGCTCCAAAAACTAAGAGTTTGAGCAAAAGCCAGCCCTCAGGGCCTGGTGGTTCAAGTTCTGCGCACTCTGCTTCAACAGCCTAGGTTCTGTTCCAGGTCACAGAAACACACCACTCCTCTGTCAGTAGCTATGCTGTGGCTGCGGCTCACACAGAAGGACTAACAACTAGAATATACAACTACGTAGTCAGGCTTTGGGAAAGAAAATAAAAAAGGAAGATTGGCAACAGATGTTAGCTCAAGGTGACTCTTTCCCAGCAAAAAAATAAAAATAAAAAGCTGATCAAAAAAAGAAAACAGAGTCTGAACACCTCTGCCTGGGCTTCTGAGCCACCTGGCTCCTCCTCTGTACCTGTCTGTCCACCACTCCAGCTGCTTTAGGCTCTTCTTGATTTGTAGGAGTTCCTTGCACAGTCTCAGTATGAACCATGCTGGTCTCGACACTACAAATATCTTCTACTGCTCCGTCTGTCTGTATTACTCTGGCCACAGGCCACGGGGTTGGGCAGAACAGGCATTTTTTATAAGCCTGACCATCTCACCTGAGGAAACCATTTGAAGCACCTGGTGGCCCCAACCTGCCTGCTGGTGGCAGAAAAGCAATGGCAGCATTCTCGTGAAACCACTGTGGGTAGTTCTTGTGTTCCACGATCCCACTCTCCCACAGCAGGGCAGAGCTGGCGGGACATCCTACCACCGATGGCCAAGAGGGTGGGAATCAGTGCACAGGTCTGCACAGAGTTTGGCCCCGTCCTCAAGTCTGGTGATAGCCCCGCAGCCTACCCCACCCTCCCCTGCAGGTCACAGCCTCAGAAGCTGCACCTGCTTCTAAGACACCGTCAGCAGACCAGCCTCTCCCTGGAGTTCTCCAAATGTTTCCAGCATGCACATCTAGTCCAGGGACCCCCAGGTCCATGTCTTTCAGCAGAACTAGTCCTGATGCACAGCTCTCATGGTGGCATCCCCAATATCTGCCTTTCCATTCCCTCAGTAATGAGGATCCAGGTCTCCTCCAACCTCTCGAGGCTGCAAACAAGATTGAGTAACTGTCCTGTATACACTGCCTCACAGAACCGTGCCAGCATCATTTTGGCACATCGACCCAGGGCTGGAATTGCTATGTCACTGGGGAGCACACGGCGTATCGTGTAGTTGGTTGCTGGGAGGTGACCTCTCAGCCCTTGGGGTGCCCTGCCTGACGGGAATGTCTGTCTGCCCACAGCCTTGTGGGCCACCCTGGGTGACCTGACCAAGTGCCATGAGCCAGGGGCTTTGGGTCCTACAGCTGGGTCTCCCGAGGGGCTGCAGGCTGAGACCAGCCACATGGGGAGTCAGCATGCTGACACCATGGACCCGATGGGGGCTCTGGACACCAAGTCTTGGGAAACAACCTGGGTCTGCCATGCTCCTCGAGTGTGGTCTGACACAGGGAAGCAGCACTGTCCCCACTCCATGGGGAGAAGACAACGGAACCTGGCACTTTTCCTGGATTCTGCCCAGCAGTCACCCTTGGCTGACATTAACCTGTCTCCTCTCCCCATGATAAACCAGGTAACCACGATGGCCTTCAGTGAGCTCCAGGAGCGTCGGTAGTGCATTATTGAGCCTGGGCCAGTCCTGGGCACTGGTTCCTTCTAACCTCCCACTGGCCCCCTCAGACCCCTCTCCCAAATAGAGGCACCAGTCCACACCCCCTCCGCGTATCCTGACTCATGCTGGGTGTCATCTAGGCTTCTGATTTCCAGGGCTGAGCAGAGCTGGAGCAGTACCTCACTGGCCCGTCCATGTGCGAGTCTCCGAGTATCGAGGATGCGGGCGTCTCCCAGTGTTTTGTTGTCAACCAGACGAAATAACTCCTCCACTAGCAGGGTGGAATGACCCTCAGCTTGTCTCTGCTCCCCTTGAACAAAGGATTCTGACATTGAAAAGAGGCCACAGGTCCCAATTCTCCGTGACTTTCCCACTGAGCTCCGATGAGAACGATATGGAAGACCATCATGACGCTAGATTTCTTTAAAAGCAGCTCCTACCCTCTGGTAGACAAACCTCCCCTTCTCATCCTCTGGGCAAAGTCCAGCCTAGGTTTCCCTTCACTAGTCCCCCTGCCCCGACCTGGGACACATAGAGACTGACGTGCTCGAGACTGACGTGCTCCTGGACCAGCTGGGAGAACCTGAGGTTCTGGTGAGGCCACACAGAGCACATGAACCCTGCTCATCCACGCCTGGCAGGCAGAGCTTGCGAAGATCCTCCACAGCACACAGGTTCTGTAAATCATTTCAGCACAGATTTGAAAGTGAGGGGACCTGCCATGCAGACATCAAGGAGAAAGGGGCCCATGGCAGAGAGGCCACTGTGACCAGTCAGCAGGGAGCAGGGTTGATGGAGAAAACGGCAAGGTGGGTTGTGCAGCCCTGCAGGCCAGCACCAAGCTTTCACCCCAGACATTCAGAGGAGCTGCTGAGCAGGCAGCCAGGCCTCGCTGGACTCGAAGGCCATCCGTGCTGGAGGCATTCCTGGCCTGCTGGACACAAGCCCAGCAGCTCCCTCCTGTGTCCCCGCCACATCAGGGACAGGATTACTTATAAGGGTTCCTTGACCAAGGTCACACGGCTTGCTGAGATGATGAACCTGTCACTCTTTCCGATACACAACCAAGCAGTTTTTCCCACTCTGCTCGTCATTCTTACAAAGACGGTGTGTGTGAGAGCGGGAGACAAGGCCAGCAACACTCTGTCAGAAAGAGAGTCCATACCAGTGTCCCTCCTTTCTCTCCCCAGCACCCAGCACCCATGGGGCAGAACCTTGCGGGGCTGTGCCCCGGCGCTGTCTAGCCCACTAGTTTCCACCCAGCCGACTGAAAGGGGAAGAACGAGAGGCCTCCCAGCAGGTCTCTGCAGAGGTGGAGGCGGGCAGCCCCCCTTTTCACTCCGTGGAGCCTGGAGATGGGGGCTCATCAGAGAAAAGGCCCACCTACAGAAGCCCCCCTCCATGGGGCAGTGCTGAGACAGGCTGGCAGGAGAGGAGACACATGGGAGGAGGGACGCCAAGCAAACCAGCTGCAGCCCTCTCTACTGGGCTCTGTGAGCCACAACCCCACACGAGGCAGGCCACCCCAAACACGCAGACAGGTGCGGGGCCAGCAGTGCCAGAGGCTGGTGACTCTGAGGACTGAGGCTTTGTCTGGAAATGGCCATCGGTCACAAAGCCATATGCTCGGGGTGACTTGCAGCCCCACCATCCTAAACATCCATATGCATCTATGTTCCGGGACCCCTCGTCCCCATCACTGTGCAGCGTTTTTGTCACTTGGACTAATCTGCACGACGATGCTACCACTAACTGTCATGGGTTTTGCTAAGTTTGTGTAGTGGTGGAAATAGGAAGGGAAGCCAGAGGCACAGCGACACGGACCGCCACAGTGAGGCCTGGGGGTGATCCCCCGCCCCAGGAAAGATGCTCTCAAGGGGTGGATGGACGGTGATGCTAAGAAACTGCTGGTATCTAAGGAATGGATGGAAGACATGAGAGCACAGACGAGCAGACACAGTTGGGGGCAGAGGGGGACAGAGCCACAAGGATACGGTGCGGGGGGATACACAGACCCCAGGAGGACCCCGAGGAGGCGTTTCTCCAGCTGTAAGTGTAGGTTTGTGTGGGACATATGTTGTCAGGGGACCTCGAGCAGGAGTGACAGGTCTGACCCGTCCGGGCACCCTGGGCCTTCTTTTCCTTTGACGTTCACCTCAAATTTAACCCTAACAGGCGTGCCTGATGCATGGGCTGGGGTCTGCAGGCCTGGGTGTGCAGGTCCAGCAGAATGGCCCTGTTGTGGGCAGCATTTAAGCCGAGTGGCTGCCGGGTCCGGACAACCCAGGCCACCCGGCAACCACCACCGACAGCCACAGAGACCCCAGGCAGATGCAACGTGACTCGGCAGCAGCGACAAGAGCTTTATGAAGAGAGGGACACACTCAGGTTAACCTCCCCACACGGGGCTCTAAGGTGAAATGTCACGGCCTGGAAACACGAACACCCAGAGAAAAGGGACACTCTGCAGAGGGCCACTAGGAACAACCCCAGCTGGGGATCCACACTGAGGTGAAGACCCTCAGGGGTGAAGCGTGCAGGGCACCGTGGGTCCAGAAGGCGGATGAAGGAGCTGCTGTGGGCTGGGGTGGTGTCCTTCCTCTGCCTGCACCCGGGCAGATCACTGCATGGGGAGAGAGAAAGAGAGAGAAAGGAGGAGAAAAAGAGAGAAAGAGAGAGAAAGAGGCGGCTGCTGTTCTGGAACCCAGGTGATGGACACCCCGCCAGCCCCCGGCGTCTCCCCAACACTCGGAGCTAGTTAACCAGCTTTGCCAGAAGCGAAATGACACCTCTCCTCCCTGAGTACGGAAGGACAGCGACTGCCAGCTCTGGGGTCAAAGCTGCGGTGCAAAGAGCCCAGAGGTTCAAGGTTTCAGCCTCGGGGCAGAGTGTAAAAGAACATTCAGGTTGAGGGTGTGACAGCCACCACCCCTCTGGGGGTGCCCACTGCTGCTGGACCCCACGGCCAGCTCCTGCCTGCGGAGGCCCAGGGTGGGGCAGGGGCCTTCAATATTGGGGCACAAGACCTCCCTCTCAGAAAACGTACCCTCCCCTACGTGGAGGCCAGAAAGTCTCCTGGATCACTCATTCCTGAAATTTAGCCCCAAATGGAAGCCAGGCAGTGGTTTTAAGCCTTCTCTCGGGGTATGCTTCCCCCTGCCGATTCTGGAATCTGTGCCCCGTCCGCCTTCCCCAGGCCGCCGAGATGCGACTGGTCGCCCACCTGGAGCAGCATGCTGAGGCCCAGGTCGTGGTGCCTCCTCTCCAGCTCCGAGACGGCCTGCAGCAGGGACCTGAACCTCTCCGCTGGGTCCGCGTCCTCATCCTCGGGGGACCCCTCCTCTTTCTCCACCTCCTGTAAGAAGCGCTCTTCCTCCTCAGCAAAGAAGGCCCGCAGCTTCTTGTAGTCCGTCAGAGCCTTCTTCCTGCGATCCATCACGTGACCCTGCAGGGCGGGTAGGCAGTAGGGAGGGACACCTGTGTCCTCAGGCTACACCCTGGGACCTCCACCCCACCGCTAACCACCTGGGAGAGGAGAGAAGGGTTTGCTGCAAAGCACTCAGCTGTGAACCAAGACCCTGCCAGATAGGATCAGGGTGCACAGCCACGTCCCCTCAACACACGGACCCCAGGCCACAACCCCACCCCCACTTGCCTTCCACACGGCAGCAGCAGACTCGGCCTGACCATGCAGGTCCCTCGCATCATTCAGATCTTTCCTCATGATCTCCACAGACCCTTTATTCTCCTGGAGAGAGACGCTGGTTACCAAGTGGGCAGCCCCATCTGAACATCCAGGCCCCTTTAGCTCAGTCTGCTAACAGGTCTGACTGGCCAGAAATCAGGCCCCAGCATGTGGTCTTCGCCTGCTGATGCTGTGAAAACAGGCTGCAAGCACCAGACTGGGTCTTAGTAACCCCACTAAGCTCTCTCTAGAATGACGTCTGATAAAACAACCTGTACTAAGACTCTAACCAAGTAATGACACAAGACACTCCCCTGGGATACTCAATGTTACTGGCACCAGTCAAGAGATGGAGGGTGGCCCTTTTGGGGTGAGCATGGCCACACCAAGAGCCTTTCAGGCCGCTGTGCACTGACCGCGGGTGGGGGGGGGTGGCGGCATTCCTCAGCAGGAGAGCTCAGCTGCTGTGGCCGGCCACCTGCTCCAGCCCCAGGGAGGCCCTGGCCACCACCCCCAGTGCTCATGACAGGGACTGCAGGACCCACCCCAATACAGGAACCCTCAACCGTGCTGCTCTTCTTTTCCCTATGGGGGGCACGGACCACACGCACTGTTTCGGGACCAGGGGCTATCGCTGTGCTACCACACGCACACACACACATACACACAGGCACGGCCCCAGGTCCCCAGGCCCCAGCTGTGACCTCTCTAACCATGGTTAGGTTTTGACCCAGGGTTTGGTAGTCGATGCGATCGCCGAGATCACAACGAAGAAGATTCCAGAATGGAGTGGGTGGGGGAAGGCCGAGAGCGGGTGAGAAGGCGGACGGGGTTGTGGGGGCGCGCGCTTTGGCAAAGAGAGGGGCTGAAGGCTGCAGGCTTGGTCCCCAGGACTGAACCTCAGAGGAGCGGGGCGGCTGCAGGATGACGTCACACCTGGGGGCGCGGCACTGAGGGGCGGGGAGCGCGGTATGGGGGCGGAGTCCCCAGCAGAAAGCCGTCTGCGGGTGGGGGAAGGGGCAGGACGGTCCCAAGCGAGGAATTCGGGGATGGGGCACGGGGGAGGGAGGAACAGGGCACCGTCCAGGGATGGGAGAAGGGGGCACAGGGCGCCGTCCGGGGCAGGGACCCGGGATGGGGATGGGGATGGGGAGGGCAGCGCACCTTGCCGCGCAGCGCCTTCCTCCAGCGCGGCTCCCACTCGGGCGGCTCGGGCCCCGCGGCCATGCGGCAGGCGGCGCACAGCGGGCCCCCGTCGGCGCGGC